TTATAATAGGGGTTAAAGTATGAAATTGCCGATTTGTACTGAAAATCTAAATTGTTTATTTTTTAAATTTTTAACAAATTTATTTCATCAAAATAGTTGCCATTATTATCTATACATTGCTGCCATCTAATGGGAAGGTTATTAATGCCTTTGCGATAGAACTCCGACGATCTAGACTGCACAAACTGTGTGAAAGCATTTTGTACTGGCTCCTGGGAAGAAAACTTCTTGTCACGTAGATAATTGTCCAAATCACGAAAAAAATGGTAGTCCGTTGGAGCAAGGTCTGGTGAATACGGAGGATGACGAATGGTTTCTAACTGCAGTTCCTGAAGGGGCAAAATGGTTTCTCGTGCTGTGTGAGGTCTCGCGTTGTCGTGGAGCAATAATGGTGAAGATCGATTCATGAGTCGGGGCTGTTTTACTGCTAGTTTTGTCAACATGGTTCGGAGTTCGGCACAATAGACATCTGCCGTTATTGCTTGACCAGATCGGAGAAAACTATAGTGAATAACACCATGCTGAGACCACCAAACAGTTACCATTACCTTTTTATTGGTAAGTTTTGCTTTAGGACACTGTTGTGGCATTTGACCTGGGGTCAGCCATTGCATTTTTCTTTTCCGGTTATCATAAAGAATCCACTTTTCATCACATGTTAGAATTCGATCCAATATTCCTTCATTTCTGTACCGGTTCAACAAGGCAACACAAGTTTCAACACGCGTTTCTTTCTGCAGATCACTCAAATCATGAGGCACCCATTTTTCGTATTTTTTTATTTTATTGATTTGACGCAAGTGAGTCAATATTGTGGGTAAGGTAACGTTAAACCATGCCGCTAATTCCTGGGTAGTTTGACTAGGATCGGCTTCCACTATCTCTCTTAATTCATCGTTATTCACCTGTGTGGGCGGTCTTCCTCGTGACTCGTTCGTTAAGTCGAAATTTCCATCACGAAAGCGTTTAAACCAAAATCGCACGGTGCGTTCATTAGTAGACCCCTCTCCAAACGCAGCATTGATATTGCGGGCTGTTTCTGCCGCGTTAGTTCCGCGTCGGAACTCGTATTCAAAAATCACTCGAATTTTCGCAGTATCCATCTTTCTTGTCTAAATTGAATAACAAAAACAATTGAAAGTCGATATTCAAATGTTTCAGATTAAAAAAAAAAAAAATCACAGAAACCATTTGAAAAAAGTTTCATTCGAAAACCTCAAACCATGAAGATTCTATGAAAATTCAAAGAACCTATTGCAATAAAACGGCAATTTCATACTTTAACCCCTAATATTAATAATTATAACAAACTAGTGGAGTAATTTCACAAAAAATAATTGAATATCAATTCAATAAAATTTTAATTAATGTTATTGTGTTACTGGTGTTACAGGCAGCGTAGTGCAGTGCGCCGAGTGTGGCACGCGCAGCATGGGCAACAAGCTGTCCGCGTGCTCATGCGGGCCTCTCCTACGCAAGGCGTACCGCTACGAAGACAGCCCGTGGCAGAACTCGCGTCGCCGCGACGGACATCTGTTGAGGTAAACATACATTCCATATTTTGGTGTATCAGATGTCCTTCCGTTTTAGAAAGACTGGGTATATTCATGCCAGATCGTTACTCTGGCGCGGTGTGCCGCACAGATCGGCGCGTACGCAACCTTTTTGTCATGCCAAATAAGACGCGCACTCTACAGCGTTTCAACGCATTGAACACCAGAGGTTGTCTTGTTGAATGAGTTTCTTGCACTTGACCGGGTAACTGATGTGTTTGCGGACAGTTGGTCGCAACTTATAGCCGCATTTGTAAATTTTGGTAATTTATGTTATTATTAATATTATTTATTATAAAGCTATTGAGCTTTACAATTTGTCGTTACTAATATTTAGAGTTTTTACTTTTATTATTTTATAACCAACATTGTTAATCCAGTATCTTGATGGGCGTGTTGGTAAATCCCACAAGCATCTCTGGGTAATATAAACACGAATTTGGTCACGAAAGGATACGATATGCGTTTAAATTAGGGACTGTGACACCTATCGATGACACACTATGGAGACACAATACTCCAAAGTGATAAATGATAAGACGCACGATAAATAAAACGTCACGACAAATATGTGACGACAGATAATCGTAGCTTCAAACGATTCTGTCGCACAAAAAGCCAGGGCGACCGATAAATTGTCGTCGCGATCCAGTGGGAACATCTAGACACGACAGTCGTTCAACGATAAATAAAACGTTACCACATAATGGGAACCCGCCCTTACTACTGCATTTTACATACCCTACTTGATTTTCATTCCCTACTTGATTTTCATTCCTATTAATTTTTTGTCGATTTCTGTCTGGAGATGCAGAATTGTACTTCTTTTATGATATCAAGTGATGGGACGAAGGTGGTCGTGCGCCTGGTGTTAAACGACACTTCTATGCTTGACAGTTACAGTGTCACTCAAAACTTTAAATCGCAAAGATCTGAGGGGCACCGCAACTGCACCCGTAGTAAGACATAAGTTGTCAACTCTCATCTAAATGGTACTTCACTGGGTATCCTTAATAATTTTAAGCGACATTTCACGCCTGGGCAACTCTAACTTTATACAAAGCACAAAAGTGCTATCTTGCATGGAGTATTGAAGTCACTTGTGGGATGGCTCAGCGAAGTATCAACTTGAGGCTCTTGATTCAATTGAGCGCAGAGCCAGGAGCCTTATTGGCGACGTAAGCTCCAAACTAAGCTCATAGTTTGGCCCACTGGCGCAAATTTGCCCGTCCGTCGGTTTTCTACAGAATATATTTCGGTGAGTGTGCCCATGAGCTCCACCAGCTCATCCCGGTCGCCCCCTTTTACCATCGGACATCCAGATGTACGGCGGGATATTATCCTTACTTGGTCGATATTTCGGTCAGGAGTACTAAGCGCTTTTCATTATCTTTTATTATGCGCACAGCCCAGGAATTCCCTGCCTGCAATTATGTTTTCGAACTCATACAACTCAAGTATCTTTAAAGTGCGACTGAATAGGCATCTTCTGGGCGACCTCGTTCCATCGTAGAGCCTATCTTTCCTCCAGTCATAGGTAGTTGTAAAAATTCATGGTTTCTAGGCTACTCATTATGAAACTACTACTATGTACATGTTCTGTAATAATTAACATATGTAATCGCGGACAATAAATTATAGGTCGCTAATAAATTAGGGTCAATTACAATATTAAAAACAACTCAATTAAAGAGAGTTACCGGAGGAGACGCGGGAAAAACTGTTTTGGTAGATCAAATGGTATATTTACCATTAAGTAACATTCTTACAAAAAATATACGATACACCTAAACATAATATTATCTAAATAATGTGCTAATGACAGTAGGTTGTACTTTATCCGATCACATAAAATCATGAAAACTGGCTAATATATAAAAGACTAAAACGAATTATTTAAGAATAAAATATCGAAATTTTTAGTTAATTTTCATATGGAAATATTTCTCTTTAAGTACTGCAGAAAACCTGCTAAATTTTGGTTTTCAACTAAAGCTCTATTAGTTATTAAATTCACATTTATCCCAAAAGTTGCAAATTGCCTAGCAGTTTAACAACGCGCCACGCCGCCCGCTGTCCCATCACTCGCCATCGGGTGCTTGTGGACATCCGATCTGTGACAAATTTGTCGCGGATTGCTGGATGCGAGGGACATCTCATCTCCTAAAATCTAGGCTCGCGTTGACTCCATCGCTTTAAAGTATAATATTAAATAAAAACTAAATATCTAAACCTAAATAATTTATGAGGAACGAGTTTTCTACAAGAAATATTAGCATTTACAATCCACTGATTGACTTAGAGTATAAGCGCGATTGCATCGATACAAACGCGCGGTTGCATCGATATAAACGCGCGTTTGTATCGATGCAATCGCCTATAAATCCCAAGTTTAGCGATGCAATCGCACGTTTGTATCGATGCAATAGCGCGCTTGCATCGCATTGCATCGATTGCAGCGCTGCTTATAATCGTGCGTGTGTGTAAAGAAAGATTAGCGACTGCATCGCTACTGCATCGCGTTTGCACCGCTGCTAGAAGTCGCGGCCATAAAAGGTTTTGCAAACACAATAGACCTGCAATCTCACGACATCAAGACGCTGTTGTCTAAAATAAACTTAAAATGTCTCATATGCCTAAAACATTCGAAATGTATAATAGGGGAAAACACGGAATGTTTAATATCCAAACGAGGGTTTAATTGTAGTTATTTTAGTAAACAGCATTGTGTTTACTGTGAAATATGCTTGTTTATTGAATGTAAGCTCTTCGACCTATTTTGCCAACCGTGCAAATAAGTCAAAGCAACTTCAACAGTGTTATAAATCCATTTTGTGGGTAGTTCGAGCTCGAGTAAGACATCATTATTGTTTCATATAGAGATGCCATTTATGAACAGGGCAGATATCATAATAGATTTAGTAGCAGTATAGTCTATATAGTATAGTCTTGTGAAAGAGTTCGTCCAGGACGAACGAATTGCCACCTTGCCTATTTCTGCCGCCAAGCAGTGATGTGAGCATTACTATATACGGATTTTGAAGGGTAAGGGTGCTGATGAAGTTACAGGCACATGGGACTTGTCAACTTACGTCTCAACGTAACGGGCGCAGTGGCAGTGCCCCTCAGATCTTGCTCTGAGTGGTGGTTGCCATCATGGACTGGCGTGTAGCATATTACCAGATGCACAACTTGTTCGCCCTATCACTAGATATTATAAAAGAAAAATAATAAAAAACGTCTCATTTGTAGAAACAAAATACTTATACCTTTTTTTAATTAAAGAAACCGTTCTCAAAAGTTTGCTTATCCGCTTTCGCTGTTTGTTACCGCAGTCTCCTCGACTGTAAAAAGAAAGTGGGTCCTAATAAACCTGATCTATCCCCTAATTTGCCACTCTTAGAGGTGGAATATTTTCTTCAACTTGAAATGGCACCACTGTTGAGACACCACCTTTCTAACAAAAAAGGAATCATCGAAAATTGTTTCTCAAATGTCGGAGTAACCACGTAATGTACACACACAAAAAAAAAACAGTCGAATGGAATACTACCTTTTTCTACCTTTTTTTGAAATCGGTTAAAAACAGTTGTAATTACTTGGAACGATAGCGTTTATTTCCGACATAACGACTTAGATAAAATTTACGTAAATTTTCAAAACAAGACGTACATATTGCCTAATAGCGAATATCACTCCAATCTAGGACAATAGTTTGTACTTTTTTCAGAACAACTTACACTTTCAGTGCTTTTTACAGGTTTGAAGATTCCCTGTAATTGTTTTGTAGTCAATTTCCGGTAATGTATGCGAAGTAATAAATTGACAAAACCGATTGAAGACCTCGGCGGCCCAGCGGTTAACACTGTGGACGCTAGATGAATGTAGTAGTAGTATAAACTTTGGGAACTTTTCTAAATTAGTTCTGGTTGGCATGTTCTGGGTAGTTAATTTCGTTACTTTGGTTACTCATAGTACATGAATTTTCCTAGTTTGCGACCAAGTTCTTTGATGTGGTCGTCTGGCATTATTATTGCTATAATAAAAAGATAAATATACATTAGTTACACAACAGTACATCATAAATAAGATTACATTCGTATAGCGTGCGTTACTTGTTTGAATATTTTTAAGCGTGTGTAGTTTAAAAGTTAAATCTAGGCTATAAAGGTCAATAATCAAATTACGCCGCCCATTTTGTGTATTTCAGGGTAGGAAAGTATTGTGCAGTTCGTGTGTGATGATAAAATATGTATGGAAAGGTGCACGCAACAAAACTCGCGTGGGCTTAACGGTGAAGGTTGCCCGTCCCATGTATAATATAATATTATTTACAATCGCACGCAAGCCATGAAAAGATATTAAATAGTGACAGAGAAAAATAAATCAAATTAACTTTTGGGTTTTGTTTATGCAAAATAGTTTTTTAGTTCTTAAAATCGAGTACCGTGTTAAGGCAAGAGCGTATTACATACGTAATAGGCAGTAATAGGCTCTTATAATAGGTTCGTGATTTTAAGATCTAACTATGTAAAGATAGCACACAATACTTTTTCTACGAGTAAATTAAAATAATGAAACACAACCAATATTTAAAGATTAGTTTGTTAACAATCCACGACAACAAACTCAAACGAAAATCAAACAAACGGTTCAAAACTCAAAACCCAAAGAGAGACAAGTGTCCGTGATTAGCCAAGTACCGCTTAAATTTTAAACAATCAGTAGGTTATAGAGCGTTTGAGAAGCGTCATATTTGATATTTTATATTGTTTTCTAATAGTAATTTTTTGCCAAATGGTTAACTGTTACGTAACAGTTTGAGATACTATTTAATGAAACAGTTTTAATATTAATTTCACAAATATGTATATAATGACATTATTATGTCCAGGAACATGGTGACGCGTTTAAGGAGACTCTTTTAATGAACAAATACACGACGAGTTCTGTGTACAAAACTATAATGATTTTTTTAGTTCAGTAGCGAATACCACAGACTATAGAATTTTGTTCAGGGGTTACGATTCAGTTTAGGACCTAAAATTAATCGTTGTGAGACAGCGCTACATGAAGTGTATATCACCATCCCGTTTTTTTGTCGTTACGAACCTATATTGAACTGCAATAAGAGTTCATAGTAAGGCCCTTGAACTAAATAAAGCGCCTTTGTGATATTTTTGTGAAATTATAATTGACAGATAAAGTACATGCGTAGAAAAAACCATATTACACTTTATTGTTAGTTGCACAAGAAGAGTAAAAGTTACTTACTCTATTTAAAACCTTCTGCCAATCTTATATATATATATTATATTTATATATGCTGTTTGTGGGTCAACTATACGCAGAGGGCTGTTGATGCCCTTCGTGTGCAATATTCTGCAGTGCATCCGGAATATTCGGGGAAGCGCTTTGCGATGCTTGGTATACCTCCGTCAGAAAACGTACAGCTTCCATACTTTGACAGGTTCGGGACAGCGTCTCGACGTCCTGCAGGTCATTAGGATCGGGATATAAATACTTCCCGAAAATATTTGAATTAGTTATGATACTAGGACAATTTAAAGGTACTCCCTAAACAGTATTGATTAAGCAGCCCGAAATAAAAAAGTATTATTATTATTGTAAATATCGTATTTGAATTTGTATCCATAGCTTATGAATATATAGGATTAAACTTCAGGCGCTCATTTATTTAGTGAAGAAACATTGACGAAAAACTGACTGGTACTGTTTCCTTGGATATGGCTTACAGTATTTTTAAAAACCTACTTAGTAGCCACGTGTTCAGTATTATACATTTTACTTGGAGTTTTACTGACTGAAAAAATTAACCTGTTTTTTCTGTCGATTAAAAATAATAGATTTATTCAAAGCCTCCAAACGGGTTCCGCTGCGGAGGCTAAATTAACTTTAGCTATAATTTATTGGTTGACCCAATTAATGCAGACAGCTTGCAGATAGGCACTTGGTTGTATGGTATGCTTTATGCAGAACCTGCGGAGCGAAGGCCGGACAAATTATGTATGACATTATATTTATACCTTATTTTGCTTAAAATAAAATCAGTGCAACGTTTATAAAAGAAAACTAAATGTCTTACTTAATAATTTATTGGCGACACTTAATCATCTACTCCATTTAACTGCCTCTGTTATCACTCTGGGCTGCCACGCTGAGATTTCGGGTTGGATTCCCGGCTGAAATATTTGTATGGCTTACATCTATTTCTCTAGTAATTTTGGGTGTAATATACGGTTGTCTATGTGTGTGTCCATGGCACCCATGATACAGGGTTTCCCTAGTTCGAAGTTATGAGTGTGTGCGTTGTGAGAGAGTTCGTCCAGGGAAGTACTGCCACTCTGAATCATAGCACTGCAACTGATCACACTAAGGGTCTTATTCCAGAACTCTACTCAATGCTCAAGTCAGGACTTGAGTATGATTTCTCTGGTTCTCTATTGTCTTTAATAAGCATCTCCTTTCATTCGCTATTATTAACACCTCCTCATTGGTCTTACTTTCCGTCCAACTGATTCCCTCGATTCTTCTCCAGCACCACATTTCAAATGCCTCCAATTGTTCTCTGTCTCTCTGTATCATTGTCCACGTCTCACTGCTATACAATGAAATACTCCAAATATACACTTTTATGAATCGTTTCCTAGTATATACCCACATTGCGCAAAATATTATATGTATATATCCAATGTACCGTCAACTTTTATCACCTTCTACGTAACATATTTTACTTCCAACAAACTTTAAATCGACTCTTTTTGTAGTCTTATAGAACACCTACACGAAAAAAATATAGTTATATACATAAAGCCTTACATAAAGCCGAAACTATCACTGTATAGATAAACACAATAACTTGTTACAGACTATGGGCGGAGGTTTTCCACGTATCAGCAAGTGGGGCAGGCACAGTGAAATGGCAGCAAGTGTCGGAAGACCTGGTTCCAGTGAACATCACCTGCATCCAGGACTCGCCTGAGTGCGTCTTCCACATTACCGCTTATAACTCACAAGTCGATAAGATCCTTGACGTTCGACTACTGCAGCCTGGTAAGATTTAATACTACGTATACGGATCTCCTATTTTAACCAATTACATATTTCTTCATGTAATATAGAAAATAACGTCGCGTTCCACGTAATGTAATTAAGAAAAAATGGTTAAGTTTTCTTTTTAGTAATGTAACAACACGTTTTTATTACTCTTTTCATGAATTTTTTTCTGTTTTTTTATAATTAATACTATTCGGAAGGTTTAAACTAATTTAATTTTGTAATTCTTAATGCAACTCTTCAGTTTTTTAAGTATATTACCTTTCTGGAAGCGTTTAACTTCACATGTTTTAAATAATAAAAAATCTAAAATTTTGGTTACTAAAAAATCATGAAAAACATTCCGTAAGTCGAATAAATGAAAATTTCTGACTAATACACAGCATTAATAGTACTACAATCAATCTCTACATATGTAAAAAAATTACCATGTACAAACAGATAAACAAGTACTGTTCAAAGATCTATTTTATGCGATGAATTCTTTTTACGAGGTTATTGTAACCTAGTTTTAAATTTACACTGACCACTCGTAGTTGCTGCGTCAATAGAAGCAAAGCTCGTTGTTTTACGCTAGTATATAGGAAAGTACATTAGTAGAATTAGTTAGAATTATTATTTCATTCTGTTTTATATATAGGTACTAACCTATCATCATTTTTACTGACACATCTGTTTACCTCCTCCGAAGTAATTTGGCTATATTTTGGAAAAGAAATTTCCTTTTCTGACAAAATTGTTTCACTATATTACTGTGCATAATGTATTGTCTGTTCGCGCCTAAGCAATTTGCTATAGTTATATATTGTACTGTAAATATTGCTGAAAATTATCAGGCACTAACTTGTATGCTTGCCTTAGCAATCGTTTTCGTACTATTTCAAAAAAATTGCATTTACCTTTGGTCTTCATTCCGTATCCGTTGTCTTAAAAATATTCAAAACTGTACGTAACATTTATTAGACAAGTGAAATATTGTTGCTAGTTTAGTTTTTGCTCATCTACAAGACGTATTATGTTCCATATAGCGGAATAATAATAACATATAGCAGAAGCTAAACACTTGCAGTGTACCTACACATTTAGATAAATACCAAACGAATAGTTTTAAAACGATTGCATTGGTCAAATTTTAGAGTAATTAATCTTTAACTTCAAGATTCAGGAAAAATCGATAATCCTTTTTTAAAATTGAATGATATGAATAATAGTTACAGGTTGTTCATAAAACAAAAATAGTAATACAAAATAATACATGCGTGCTAAAGAGAAAAGTTTTCGCCTTCTACTTAGATGGCAAATGCTGATTTAGATATTTTTAATCTCACTAAGTGTCTGATATGGAAATATGAAAAAGCATAGATATTTTTAGTAAATTATGAACGTTGTTTAGTATTATTAACGTTGCATTTTGTAGCAGACTCTATTGTTATAGTTAATATAAAAGAAAATGGTATAACTAAAAAAAATTGAGTAAGTAAGCTCAAAATATTGTAATTATACAACGACAACAGATACAAATTACATAATAATAATAATAATAACGCACGCACACACTCAACATAGCCCCGCACTAGGGAAACCCTGTGTCGCGGGTGCTATGGACACACACATAGACAACCACAAATTACACCCAAACTCACGAGAGAAATAAATGTAGGCCATACAAATATTTCTCCCGGCCCGGGAATCGAACCTGGAACCTCTGCGTGGCAGTCCGGCATGATAACCGTTCGGCCACGGAGGCAGTTAATTAATTAATTGCATAATTTAAATTAAAATTTATTAGTGATTTTTTATTATCTAATAAATAGGGTTTCGGTCGAGTTTAATTTTAATAGTGTAGTTTTAAAAATGAGATTTTATCTTAATTTTATTATGATTCAAAATTGTATTGTTATATTACCTTTAACATTTTTGATTAGAATTTTTATTTTATTTATATTTCAGTGATTTTATTTTATTCGGATTTTATGATACTTTATTTTTAATTAAATCTTATGAACTGGTTCAATTTAAAGTGCTATGATCGTTGTTACTTAATTAAACATTTTATCAGTTAATTTAATAAAACTTTTTCGTTGTTTGTAACACTTATCAGATTTGTCGGTAGGTGTTCGTAAGATAATAGTTATATTCTGTGCAATTAGACAACAGTCTACTTAAAATAAAAAAAAAACACGTAGGTAATAATTGACTATGCTGTTCACCAGGCACTCGCATCGGTCAGGCTTCGGAATGCTTTGTGTACTGGAAAGATCCGATGACGAACGACACGTGGGGACTAAACTTCACCTCGCCCATCGACGCCAAGCAGTTCCGAGAATGTTGTGTAAGCTGTTTACATAATTTACTACTTAAACTACTTAAAACCTTGACACAAAATCTTACTTATTTTGTGCTAAATTTATACATTTCTTACTAAATCACGACTTGTTATGACTTATAATTTCTAATCTCACAAAGATTAGATCTGGATGTGGTTTTCTATAACTGACATATCTATTTTGCCTTTTTGTCTTTATCTCGTCAGATACATCTTCCAAAAGCTTTACACCCTAATTTGTTAACTGATGTACATCTCTAATTCACTTCCATATAAATTCCTTACGCTAAAGCCTCACACAAGGACTGAACCAGGCTACGGCCGAGTCTCTAACGTGCCACAGTCATTCAATGCCATATACACTTAATAATAAATGTTGTCGCCCTATTATAAAATCGGGCACATCATGTTATGTATCTGGGTATTTCATGAAACGGACATCAGTTTGGACACCGTTATGATCGAGTCGTTGTAACATGATTTTTTATCATTTTATACCAATTTTTATCTTCTTGTCGTATTGATGGCCTACACTGTCATGCTTGCCATAGCGGTGAAAGGATTTGCCAATCGGCGTAACGTACTCGCCGATTGTTGCCCAGGATATGCCAGCGGTACAGAATAGATATGGCACGTCTTGCGGGGAGACTCCTTTCGTGCACTCCACGTTTTGTGCATGAATCATCAAGTCCTAATTACTCCATTCTAATTAGACTCTAATCAAGGCAAATCACGGGATTGTTTTGTATTTTAGTCACCATCGTTCAAATTCTCCCGCAAGGCATCTTCGAGCTACAGCCTGAAGCTGGAGCCGCCGGGTAGCAAGCAGAAGTTCAAAGCTAAGAGGAAGCCGCTTTCGACACCGGCAAGCCCGAATCGATCAAGGTATCACGTTTATAATTAGCGACAACAACATAGCATGCCAACAAAATTGCCGCATATTGAAAAACAGAAAAACATTCAAAATAATGATACGTGTTGTACTTGGGCCTCAATATTTAGTTATCATTTCTTACAGTCTCACTTATGGTCGCGAGCCGCAGTGTACATGCATGACTCAAGAACAATACGCCCGACTGCGAGCTCAAGATCCACGATACCGTAAGTAATGAAAGTATAGAACTATAACATATATAAATATTTTATCACGAATGATTTTCAACATACTAAACATATTATAACTATGGTAAGAAAAAAGAAATCAAAACTATGACACTACGTAAGCGCACTATAAGTTTCCGGAATGAATAAGAAAAAATAGTATAAACGGTCAGAAATGAATTTATTGTTTCTCAAATATTCTCCGTTAGCATTAATGCACTTTTTCATACGAATGAACCAATTTTAAAAACATTTATGCCACTCCTCCGTGACAATCTCTGAAACATATTTTTCATACTCTACGACAGCCTCTTCAGGCGATGAAAATCGTTGCCCGCGTAACTGGTTCTTAATTTTTGGAAATAAATAAAAGTCATAAGGTCCCAGGTCGGGACTGTACGAGTGATGGCTCATAAGGTCAACGTTGTTCACCTTCAAAAATTCATTTGTCTGTCTGGCAGTGTAAGAAATGGCATTATCGTGGTACAAGATGATACGGCGTTTACGGTTATTTTTACGGAGTTTGTCAATAACTTCCGGCAAACAAATGATCGTGTACCAATCACTACTCACAGTACAATGATTCTCCAAAGCAAAAGTAGCCACGTGTCCAGTTTTATTCAAAAAAGAAGCAATCATCGTGCCGCTGGTTGGTTTCGGCTCATCTCGAAAGACTTGCTCAATTGCTGCTTTGTTTTGGAATCGTAACTATAAATCCATATTTCGTCACCTGTTACTATGTCCCACACCAAATTTGACGCCCCTTCGTTGAATCTGGTAACCATGGCATTGTACCAAGTGACGGGATTCGTTTTTTGAGCCTCAGTCAAATTGTGTGGGATCCACCGAGAGCACAGCTTTTTCACACCCAAATATTTGTGTAGTATTCATTGTATTTGACTCATGACTATGCCTAAAGATAAAAAAATCTCAAGGTATGTCACATGCCTGTCTGTTTTGATCATACGGCGCACAGCATCGATATTTTTGTTGTTCGCAGCAGTGGACGGGCGACCATCACGAAATTCATCACTGAGATTCACACGACCGCGTTTGAATTCTGCAAACCAGCTATAAATAGTCGTTTTGCATGATGCTTCATCGCCAAAAGCAGTTTAAAGCCAAGCGAAGCTCCGCTGAGCTGTTAAATTACACTTAAAGTCGTGGAAAATCATACTACGAAAATTTTTACGAGTCAAATCCATGGTGATGTAGAAAACCAATTTCTAAACGACGCCACAATGTAAAAACAAGTGACAGTCAGATGAAACAAACTGTATTTTACAGCCAAAGAGTTCCATTTTCAAATGTTGTAATTACTTTTTAAAAATTGTTTATGTAAGTTTACCAGTTCCGGAAACTTACAGTGCGCCCTACGTAATACATTTTATGTTGTAATAAATTAATGAAGTATGAATTTAATTGATTACACTGGCGGGGCTTGGACTGCGGCCTAAAGCCTTCTCCTCCGAAAACAACTGTACTTAACTCAGGGCCATTTATAGGTTGATACAATTCGTCCCTAATTGAGGTGGTTTTTATCAGGATCGTCGACACTGCCACGTACGACGACGCGCGCGATCGAGACAGAGGGTGCCGCAGGTCCAGCTGGACGCACCGACAAAGTTGCTGCGGCTACCTCTTCCACCTCGCTGTATGACAATGTCGCGACTTCACAGCCTGCCCATCAAGCGCCACCTAAACGTAAGTGTAACTGGAAAATTGTTACATAAAGTATTTTCGTCTTATTTTAGATGAGCATTTTGACCGGATAGTATATATGTATATATATATATGGATAATAATCCATATCCCTGCGGCAGTGAGTACAGGACAGTGTTTATTTTCTGACTTATGCTTACTTTCTACTTCTTTTGTTCCAGCGGCAGCTCGTCAAAACGAAAGCCAGCAAGCCCCAAGTCGTCCTCCAAAGTCACAAGAGACCTCCACGATGACTACCAATACTTCAACTGCGCCTAAGACCGTCACCGCTTCGGTGGGCACCCATGGCACTAGTGTGAGTAATTTGCTCTACCTATCTCTATATTTATTTGATATCCGGTATACGCCTTCACGTATATCTATTTACTGTCACGTCAGCTGTGACTGGACGTGATCACGTCATGTCGGAAGAAAGCATAATAAGAACTGATTCCAATTTTATATTGCAGACAACGGAAGAGACGCAAGCTGGAGGCACGAGTTCTGGGCAACATGGACAAGACTCCAAGTCAGAGGGGGTACAGGCGGGAGGGACACTCACCTCCTCCAAATCCTCAGCCACTTCTACTCGCGCCGGGAAGGAACATCTGCAGCACATGCCAAAGAGCGTTGATTATGGAGATGGAAATGACTCCGTGAGTATCTTGCAGGCTAACAGCTGGCAGTACATTTCAAGTAATTGAAATTTTACCTTATTCCATTACAATACACATTGCTCTGTGCCCTTACTACTATCACTATACTTCCTCACTGCTGAGGATCGTGACTCCACTTCATCCTGCCAATTGCCTCCAATGGTTGCACTCAGTCGCATAGTGTAGTGCGGCGCTTATAGGTAGCTCCAGCTGTTCGGAGATCTGATCCAACCACCTTTTGGGACTACACCCTAAGGTCCCTACACCTTCGATGTCACCAGCAACGGTTATCAGCATTTTCAGGTTATCAGCATCTCTACGTGCTACGGGACCAAAAGAGCATGCAAGTTGAAGACTGACGCTGTGCATTGTTTATATTGAGTTCATCTAGTAGGTATAGAGACATTGGGGTGGCGGACTGTCCACGGTATTCTTAATATTCTGCGCCAGCACCACATTTCAAAGGTGAAATTCTTTGCCTGTTGGTGGCTTTCAGTGTCCATGTCTCTGCACCATATAGAGAGATGGAGAAGACGAGAGCGCGAATTAGATCTATTTTAGTTTGGTTTCTGATATTAGCTACCACGAACCCTACTGTTGGTTATATATTATCGTTAATACCACTTATTAACGAGTGATAAATATCGTGGTTAAAATCGAATAAATTTGTTGACACTAACGCCTAATTCAAATTCCGCAATGTCGAGCGATAAAAATACGTTGTCAATCGTCTGTTGTTTACACATTTACTCGTTTTGTTTGATCACACGTGTCGATAGTCAATAAAATCGATTGATCTGTAGATGTTTTAATACACTATGATAGGCGTAGTCACAAAAAACAAAGGTGTCATCATCATCAACTATTTTAATTAATTGAATGAAGTTGATTGTAAATTTGGCGATTGTTCCAGTCTCGTGAGTCGGATCGCCACACGATGCATCATCATAATGTCATCAATAACAACACTTCGGGTTCGCGTCGTACTAAATCTAAGAGCACAGAGGATATGAACATGGGTAAGTCGAGTCGAACTGGATTAATTATTATTTCGCTGAAGTCGTTGTTCAATGCTGAAGAAGTGAGAAAAAAACGCCGGCTTTGGGATTTTTTTGTATTCAGACTATAAAATTAAAGAAAGAATGGTTATATCTCGATATTCCAGACTCGAGTACCCTCAAACGCATGCTAAAGCCCATGCCGTCGACGGAGAGCCCTGTGACGTCACCAGAGATGGGTCGGCGTCGGTACGGGGGGCAAGCACCATGTCCGCCCTCCTGTGGTACCCACGGCCACCGCCATAATCAACATACGCATCACGGCCACTATTCACATGTGGTCAACAACAACAGTCGCCAAAGCTCACAACGGTACCCCCCTACTTCCAGGTAGAAATCACCATATATTTCTTAAGCTGTGGAGAGTAATATTGCACGCTTGTAGCTTATAAATGACTTGTATTTTAGCGATTTGATGCCCTTTGTAATTGCTTCAAAGGTTTCAATTCCTTTATTTTGTATATATGCACTGCTATTCACCTGTTTTAGTGTTAGATGTTGTCACGAGTTATGATATACAATACTAGAAAGAGATCAACGACTAATTATACGGTTAATTACGGTATAATTACGGACTTCAAAAGTTTGTTGAATTATATCTATTTGCCAAGTTTTGTTGCAATCGGTAAAGAAGAAGAAAGTGAGTGAAATCCAAAAAAAATCCAGTGAACATGTTAATTTGTCACCCTTGAAAGTGGAATATTTTCTTTTAATTAAACTACTGCTTAAATATTCCCTTTCCAAAAAAAGACTCGTCGACATCGGTTCACAAATGTCGAAGTAATCGCGTGACATATAAATTATATTTATATGTAAAAAAGTACAGTCAAATTGAAAACCTCTTCCTTTTTTGGAATTGGTTAAAAATGTTCATTTTTGTACGTTTTTCAATACTTGCTTAAAATTTAATATCAGACTATACTTAAGTACTCGCAATTCGTAACTTTCGCGATCGTTCATCGAATACGTTTGAAGTTATAGTTACTTACGAATAAATATAACCTAGATACAAAAGCCTATCGTTCGATTTATTCCGCTTCTTAGAATTCAATATGTAATGCTTCAATTACAAATTCTCGGTATGTTTTTAATAGCCGTGGAGTCGGCGTGGGCGCGGCCCCCAGCGGCTACCCAGGCCGTGGGCTGTACTTGGAACTCGGCGGGGGAGGAGCTGAGAGGGACGTATCTCCGCCCTCTGATAATGTGATGTTCGATAATCAATGCTACGCTACCACACCTTCGTCTTCTAATGGCAATTCTGACCAAGATTCTTGCCAACGCCGGGATCCGAGAGATCCGAGGGATCCTAGACAGCATCACCATTCTGTAAGTCAATTTATGCGTAAGATAGAAATAATAAGAATTAATTAAATACGGAATCGACATTCAGCTTTCATCTACCTAACACGTTAGGTATTATTTTTGGATAAGCTTAGATAGCGTTGAGGTTATTCATTTCTGTATCTGTGACATTTGCCTTGTTTATTATAATTCTAGTATCACTTTACACCATGTGCATATTAGCGACGAACATACACGCGCTATTATATAAGTGCAGTCTGTGTGGTGTCTTAACAGTCTATACAACCTCAAATGGTTTTTGTTGATTACGCATAACAGTGAAAGTATTGGATCAATCACTTAGGAAATAATACATAGTGAAATTGACCATATACACTATTTACTATATGATGTGAAAATACGATTCCTAATAATGTTCACTATGAAAAAGAAACCAATCTTACCTTGAAATTTTCAGATTTAATTTTTTACTTACTAATTCATATTGTTATGATGTAATTACTTTAGACGTAGGTACCAATGATTTGTTTTTAATTTCAACTAAACTAAATGGAACATGTATAGTATACGATACACATTTTTGAAATGCCTTTGAAATTTCGTTTGTAAAAAAATTAATTCTCAAATAAAGGCAGTGTTCCTGCCGCTCGACCCAAGCAAAATGAACCGTATTAGTACAAGAAAAAATTGAATTCGAGCTGAGGTAGTACCGCCTCTTAACAGTCCTGAGGTATTTAACCTGTATCATCGTTGCCTTTTTACTACCTGGACTTTTAAAACGATTCAATTAAATTCTTTCCATAAAAAAAATTGTTTGTTACATTTTTAAGCTATTTTGTTTTACATATCGCACGGATAATACAAAAGTGTATTAACTCAAGAAGTGTACTTTTCAGAATCAATGAAAACGAATTACTCACTTCCCGTGAAAGATTCTTAAAACTTATATATAGGTTAAAGTTTATTACCTGCATTTGTAGTGTCATGGTTGAGGAAAACGGCCACCACGGCCTTAGTTGTCAGAAGTGCGCGGGGAGGTTTTCAAGACATCATGCAATGAATGATTTAGTTCGCCGGGCTTTACTATTTGCTAACGTGCCCTGTGTCTTGAAGCCTCCGGAGCTGTGCCGTACAGATGGCAAGATACGTGACGGCCTTACACTGGTTCCGTGGCAGAAAGGCCGGTGCCTTTTGTGGGACGCTACGTGTGCCAGTACGTTTGCACCGTCCCACCTGAGTCACTTCACCAGATCTGCCGGGTCAGCTGCAGAGTATGCGGCAAAAATGAAACATGCTAAGTACAGTGCCTTGGAGCCGATATACGATTTTGTGCCAATTGCAGTGAAGACTGCGGGGACTTGGGGTGTGGAGGCCAAAGAACTCATCAGGGAGTTAGGTCGTCGGCTTAGATAAAGAGGCTATGATCCCCGCTCTGGATCTTATTTGGTTCAACAAATTTCGTTGGCTGCCAGTGTTATGGGGAATAGAAATGACTAAGTCTAGAGAATTAAATTATTAATTGCTTTGTGACGAAGCCTGTTGCTTATTTATGTTAGTGTCTTCTTGACGAAGCCTACGTTGCGGATTGACATAATTATGTACTTAATTAATTTAGTTTTTAAATGAATTGAATTTTAACCTTTTCCTGTTTGCCTTGATTATATTTAAAAATAAAAGCGAAAAAATTTTTTGATATTTTTGAGTAAGGACCGTTTTATCTAGAACTAGCTCACAAAGAGTTTGTCTCATTTTGAGTTAAGTAGATATTATTTAATTGTTTCTTGAAATATTCTAACGACGGTTTTATTGATGCGTAGAGAATCAAATTTTACATTAAGCAATAATATAATCTTTTATTTCACATATTTCGAGTTATAACACTATAGTAATAGCAGGGCGATATGTAGTCTTAAGTTTAAATGATTTTGGTTAGTTGTTATTATATTATTTAAGACGTGAGTGACGCTTTTGTTTATTTACCTATATATATTAAAAATTTGATGTTATTCGCTTATAGATCTCAGATTTGAACATAGTATTTGTAGGGTTGAATTGCACGTCATTGAAATTATCTCAATAATGCAATTGTATCACTTTGTCGGCTAGAAGCCCTGCCTCTCCCGGCAAGCGTCCCAGTCTAGCGCCACTCCGGCCCCCGGGTCCCCCACGTCGCGGCTCTTGCTAGAGTATGAAATGCACCTGCGCAACACATTAGCAAAAGGCATGGACGCAGAGAGCTATAGCCTCCACACATTCGAAGCTTTGCTGAGCCAAAGCATGGATGATTTAGGTAAGTCGTAAAAGCCAATGTTATTAAAAATGAGTTCATTATGTAGTTTAGTAAAATTACAAAACCCTTTCGAGTTTGCCAACATCCAAGGTTTTGTTATTTCCTAAAATGTTATTTTGACGTAAACGTGGCTCTAAAAATAAAAAGGTATGAACGAAAACGTTTACATTTTTTTTTACACGTTTTGTTAAGTTTGTAGTTTGGCTTACTTCCATTCCGGAAGAATCGAAATAGTCACTTTCAACGATAAAATGTAACGTTTATGAGAATGTGTGAAGAGTCTATATATTACGAAGATTTGAGATTTGGTAGATATTAAATAATGAAGTATTAGCTACATTCACGATTGGTTTTTATATTATTCAGAATACAACGATAACATGCCGCCTTCGAATCAACGAAGCCCTTACCCTCCCCGACGACGTAAGTATTAAATCGAAACACGCATCAGTCAATAGTTTTTTATTCACGAAGCAATTCACTAACAGTTACACAATTTTAATAAAACATAGAACTCAAACAAATTTATACCTAATAATTTGTGTTTCTTAAAATAATGATTGAGTTGCATATACTAGCGAAAATTTAAAAAATACTTAGTGTTTATTTTTGACATTTAATTTGAACCCGATATTTGTTTTTGTTGAGGGCTGACCCAAGAGTCCATTCAGCACTATTTAAGACACCTCAAGGAAGCTGCGATCAGGGAAAGAGGAGGTGATAAAACACGTTTTTTATTAGCTATAGGAACTATCATCTACCTGATCAGTTCAATTGAATTGCATAACCGCAGGTTAAAACTGCATTATGCTCATTTGAAAGATAAATTTGAAACCATAAATAATGTAACAGTTCAATTGAATTTCAACTTCATGGACTCATTACGAATCACCAAATCAAAACCATTCATAGACTTTACCCTCTTTCGTCCTGTATACCGCTGTAGCCTGAAAGGTGATGAGGCTGTTTTCCTTTGGGGTAATTGGCATGGTGGTAACTATCGACATCTTTGTGGGACCATTTTTATTTGTTGCCTGTACTTTAGTTTCCAGTTGAGTTAAAACCTATTACATTTGACTAGTTTTTATTTTCACTTCATAATATTTTGTCCCAACAATGTCTTGAACATCACGGTTATACATGAACATATGTACTTAGTTGAACATGTTTGGTTTCGTACAAATGAGCCTCTGAAGAAGTGATTCTCCCTTTTCTGTTTAAGAAATAGTATCCTTGTTGTTAAATGCAATGTTTTGAAATTAAATTATTCAATGAACTAAAGTTCTTGAGATCTTGGACCGACAGGACGCGAAAACGTAATATCTATCTATATCTATCTATGATAAAGATAGTTTGAGAAGAACCTATACATATTTGATTATTTTGTTTGTGCTATTATTCTAGTACAAAATGAAGTACTATTAAAAGTGAACATACATAATACAATTGTAAAAATTTTCATTTTTAAGCAAATTTGATATTTGGTGTATTGTATCGTTTTCATTCCATAAAACTTGATGTCGTCAATAAATATAAATAAAAAAATTAGATAATCTGACTTAAAAGTTGGAATGGCAGGTCCTGCGTCGCAGTGCTCTGGTGGTGGAGGCAGCCGGTCTTCGACACTGCCGCTGCCCCACCGGCTTGGCGTCGAACGGCAGCATAGCGCAAGATCTGATCGCGATGGGTATTACAGGTAATTTGAATTTAATAGCATATTACATATACAACCAATTGCATTACTGCCCTCCTTGTCATAACTAACGCATTTGCATTTCAGTAAATTTCGAGATATTCTGCCGCCGTTGGTTAAAAGGGCGGTTGTAACAAAAACTCAAAACCGAGAAAATAATGTTAAAAAAAAATATGTTAGAAAAATATCTATTTTTCTCTTGCGGTAACTTCATACCTTATTCACCTAGAAAAAAATAAAAATAGTGACAGAGTGGCCTTTATTTATTGATTACGGCAGTATGCATAACAATATTTTGGAAAAATTTCACATGCGCCCTTTCAAGTAATGGCGGCAGTATTGGCATCTTAAGTTTTGTTTTGCTAGTAAAACAAGTAAAAAAGTTGATTACCTGATTTTGCTTAACAATAAACCTAAAAAAACCGCAAATAGGGGGTTACAGATTTCGTTTCCTGATTCCGGATGTGTTAATAACTTAATTTTGCTAAAAATATTGATTACGTTAGTTCTGATAAGAATTAAGTGTCAGAATAAATTAAAATTTGCTGCACAGTGTCTGAAGGTAGATTATCGAAATGTTTATTAATTTAAAAATCAGAAATGTATTTTACGAACATTTGTATCAATAAATAAAATACAGATATGGAACAAAAGCCATTCATAATTTATTTATTTATGAAAACACGGCTTGTTAAGTAACTACATAGGGCGCACTATAAGTTTCTGGAACTGGCCACTTACATAAACAATATTTAAAAAGTAATTACAACATTTGAAATTGGAACTCTTTGGCTGTAGAATACAGTTTGTTTCATCTGACTGTCACTTGTTTTTACATTGTGGCGTCATTTTAGAAATTGGTGGTCTACATCACCATGGATTTAACTCGTGAAAATATTCGTATTATGATTAGAAAATCATTAAATTAGAAAATTTAACTGCTCAGCGGAGCTTCGCTCGGCTTCAAACTGCTATTGGCGATGACAGGCATGTGACATACCATGAAATTCGGGCATCTGTAGGCATAGGCATGAGTCAAATACAATCAGTATTGATTACTACTATACAATCAGTATTATTATTATTATGATACACAAATATTTGTGTGTGAAAAAGCTGTGCTTTCGGTGGATCCCACACAATTTGACTGAGGCTCAAAAAACGGATCACATCACATGATGCAATGCCATGCTTACCATATTCAACGAAGGGGCGTCAAATTTAGTGTGGGGCATAGCAACAGGTGACGAAACATGGATTTATAGTTACGATCTCAAAACAAAGCAGCAATCGAGTGTACGGGTCTTTCGAGATGAGCCGAAACCAACCAAAGTGGCGCGCGTGCAAAGTGCCTCTAAGCGGATGATTGCTTCTTTTTTTAATAAAGCTGGACACGTGGCTACTGTTACTTTGGTGAATCGTTGTACCGTGAATAGTGATTAGTACACGAACATTTGTTTGCCGGAAGTTATTGACAAAGTCCGTAAAAATATCCGTAAACGCCTTTATCACCATCATATCATCTTGCACCACGATAATGCCAGTTCTCACACGGCCAGACAGACAAATGAATTTTTGAAGGTGAACAACGTTGACCTTATGAGCCATCCCGCGTACAGTCCCAACCTGACACCTTGCGACTTTTATTTATTTTCAAAAATTAAGAACCAGTTACGCAGTCAACGATTTTCATCACCTGAAGAGGCTTTCGAAGAGTATGAAAAATATGTTTGAGAGATAGTCACGGAGGAGTGGCATAAATGTTTTCCAAATTGGTTCGTTCGCATGAAAAAGTGAATTAACGCTAACGCAGAATATTTTGAGAAACAATAAATTCATTTTTGCCCATTTATAGTATTTTTTCTTATTCATTCCGGAAACGTATAGTGCGCCCCACATCTTTAAAATCATTGGGTTGTTTAAAAGTTGACTTGTTGTTACAATTTCACTATATTTGGCCAAACATTAGGCCTACAAACATATTCAAGGTATATGTATTGTACATTTACTCACATGGACTTCAACAGACTAAACTAGAATAGTAACTAAACTAGTTTTTTAAAATAATATCACATGGCATGCACACATGGATTTAATACGTCAGTCAGTAATTTAAACGCAATGAAATCTATATTATTATGCATTGACCTACCAATTATTATGTTAAAATAATATAATAATAATAATTTGCATGACGTGAAAATTATTTACGTATGTCAATAAATTATACAATGAAGTTAGGGATTTGTCATTTAAAATATAAATAAATAAAAAAATAAAAAGATAATTTTAATTTGTACAACACATGTGCTCAATAGAAAATTATACATATTCTTTTTCAGTTTCATTCATTTTGTACTAACTTTCCAATATTTTATTTTATTTAGCGATCGCAACGAGTTGATGCGCGAACGGGAGAGAGATCGTGAACGTGGATATCTGAGTGATCATAATTCCAGGTGTGTATTTGTTCAAGTATCTCGTAATAATATACAATATATTTGCTACATTTATTTAGAAACTTTAATTAGTCGTACAAAAACACTAATAATGATTTGACGTAAATTCATTTATAATTTAACGATATCTCCCAAGATGAAATAATTATACAATAGAAGCCTGCCGTGAATTGTGCATAAGGCAAATAAAGTTTTTGTTTACATTAAGGTTTTTCGTAGTATTTACTTCGAATTAATTAAATGCAAGAAATTAACGACCTCGATGATGCTTTGGTGGGCGTTAGATAAGGAGATCCCGGATTTGTTTTCCCAGTATGACCTATGTACAATTTGCTTTTTTCAGCATTAGACTGAAGGAAATTTCGGGTCATTTATCAGCACCATATCATTCAGTCATTTTGTAAGCATAGCATTTTAATAAATACCGTGAAACAAAACTCAAAAATATATGTACCACCTTTATTTAATTATTACGTTTTTCACTCGTCACTATTTACTAATTTAATGAAAAATTTATGTGTTTCCATACTTAATCTATTTCACAGACTTGCAGGATAAAAAAACTCAAAAGACCTAGAGTCTCCAAACATTACATGGAAACTTTAAAAAAATACATATATTATCGTATCATTTGTTATTAATTCTGACGATGTTTTCCTTTAACGTAATTTGTTGACTGAAAAAAAAAGCAAAGGTTGACGATCACTGTACCTTTGTTTACGTTATTTGTAATTCTAAAAAAAGCATAATAAATGAACTTTTATATATTGGTTTTAGTTTCCGTATTCTGGGTAATGCATCAGACTGAATTCCTTTGCGCTGGTATTCATAGGTTAAAGCATTCCTAAGTTTGAGACCAGGTATCTAATCATATAGTTATCTGGTACATTGTATAAACCTACGCAATCACAAGCTGGCTCTCCGTACACTTAGCACAGGACAATTAGAAGCTTTAGTCCCAGGGCCGGCATTGCAAATATTTATTTATTTATTCACTCTCACATATATCATCTAAATATCAATTACCATATAATAGTTTGCCGTTTAGTACAATATTAGCTAATGCCACACAGACGCGGTAGAGCGGGAAAAGCTGTGGGGGGGCGGACCTGCGGGAAGCGAATGCGTTCTGAGGCGTGTCACACGGCAGTCCCACGAGTAGTTCGTGGCGGGATAGCGGTGTGAAGGCGGCCGGTGTGACACTCAAAAGCAACCACATTTCATTTTCTACTTACATTTTAAAGAAAGCACCATATCGCTTTCGGATAGTGTTCAAAAAAATATTCTGCTTTTATTCGCATTACGGAAGCAACGCAAAAGAAATTTCGGTTGGATTCATACTGAAATGTAATAAAAAACATACTCAAGTGTTTAAAATATAACATGCAATTTCGCTAAAGCCCCGCTCATGAACGGCGTCCCGCCGTTGCCGCTCTATGTGGACGGTTGCATGGAACTCAATGAAATACCGCGCCTGTTTGTCATAGCATTAGGCCCCAGCCAGCGCTGCCGCCCCACCACCTGGTTTCAATGTGACAGGGTGCTTAAGAACTCGAACATTACCTAAATTTCCGGTCCCGGAACGCTCCCGCTACCGCCTCTGTGTAGCCAGAGCATTAAAATAAAAAAAAATGACGCAAATTGTTGTCTCAGGGATCGCGTCAGAGATCGTGACCAAGGCTACCTGAGCGATCATCAGTCAAGGTAAGTTTATTTTAAAGTAAGGTAAGTTTATTTGGGTGATTATCTAAATGCTTAAACCATAGACAAGTAACCCTCGTCTATTCGCATCAATGCCTAGAAGTCTACACTTCGCCCGGAGTGGAGGGTTATCACATTGTTATTTTAAACATATAATTTTTTTAAATGAGAGTGTTCGTCATAGTATTCTCAAGCTGTGTTTAAATAACATTTGTCAAATGCCTTACTTTTTTACAACTCTTAAATTTTTAACTGGCTTGAAAAAAAGGAGGAGGTTCTCAATTCGACTGCATGGTTTTTGTATGTATGTTGCGCGATAACTCTGGAATTTGCGCACAGATTTTGATGATTCTTTTTTTGTTGGAAAGAGGGTGCCTCAATAGTGGTCCGATTTAAATTTGACGAAAATACTCCACCTCTAAGGGCGGTAAACCCATCCGTTTTTGCGCACTTTCCGGTAATCGGTATCAAGAAAACCTGGCAAATAAATGTAATTCCACGAATTTTTAAGGTATTTTTTAGTACCGTGAATTTTTAGTACTGAGATTATATAGAATGTACATGTTAGTTCCATCGTAAACTTAAACTATAGCTGACATGTCAGAGTCACGCTTTTCGAAAGTCGATTCAACAAACAGTAACAGTATTTTTGCCGGTTTCGTATAGGGGTTGTCCTGTATACAATTTATAGCACCTACGGGTTCGGTTGATTCAGATGAAGTTTCTTATCAACGCATATTCCATTAACCAGTGAAGTTTGGAGAACTGTTTTCTTTTTATAAAAGAAAATATTTTTTTTATTATGAAATCTAAACTGTTTAATGGAACGTATCAGATTCTCATCCTCAGCGCGATGATAACTCTTTTCCTTCCATAGTCTCGTTATATAAAACAAAGTAAACGAGGATGCTGACACTGAATTGTTCGAAACCAGATTTTTTTCTTCGATCTGATATCGAAATACTCGTTTTTTATATAATACTAAGTGACGGGACGAACAAGTCGTGTGCCTGGTGGAAAGCGACACGCCTGTCCCTAATAGTTGCAGTGCCACACGGAGCTTCACGAAAATCTGATCTTGAGCCCTACGGCTCAAGACTCGCGACTCCTGAGGCTATGAGGTGCCAGTCTTTTTAGTCGTTTTAGTCTTTTTAGTCTTTTTAGTCGTATTAGTCCTATAAGTGTTTTAAGCTTCCTAGGGTTAAAAGACTTCGACTCGAATAGTCTTCAGTTTTAGTCTTATGACTCAACACTTGAGGGTTAAAAGATTAACTAGTCATGAGGCGTTAAAAATTAGTCGAGGTTTTTTAAAAGGCCTTAAAAGATTGAGTCTCTTTCATCACTAGTTGCAGTGCAACTCAAAGCTTATAATCGCAAAGATCTGAGGGGCACTGCCACTGCGCCCGACACCCTGAGACATAAGTTGACAAGACCCATGAGCCTGTAATTTCGCCAGCACCCTTACCCTCCGAAACCGGAACGCAGTAATGTACACATAAGTGCTTGGCGTCGGTGGAAATAGGTAAGGTAGTACTTCCCTGACTAACTTTTTCACAAGGGGCTCTACTGCTACTTATAATCATTCCACATTTAAGCACATTTAAATTTATATTCGAGGAGAAATTCTGAGTAGCGTGGTGTACTACCTCGTTCACCTCTTGCCCCTCTGTTATTTCTTGCTTAGCTAGGATGTCAGCCTCATCATTCCTCTTTAGTCCATTGTGTGATAGTACCCACTGCAACTCCAATTATATATTGTGGGCTACAAGTTCTTGTATTTTAGCTGTGACCGTATATGTTACTGGTGTACCTCGCTCTCCATGAATGCAGCGCACCAAAAATGTTGTAGAGCGCTCTTGCTATCTCTATTGCTTACTAGTGCTATTCATTACGTATGACAGAGCTTCTGATGTAGCAATGAGATCTGATGTCATAATGCATATTAAGAATGGGTATTTAAAACAGTCACAAATTCGTATTGAGCCCTCTCTTCCGTTCGTTGGAACGTAGAACGCTACGCCTCCTCCATTAAAACTCTTTGCTCTAGTCTGTATAAACAACGTGTGATTCTAGATATTTTTCTTCCAATTCTAATTGAATGTAAAATCTGACAATATTGTAAATCTAACAACGGTCACACACGCGCGATTTTAAGCAGCGATGCAAACGCGATGCAAGCGCGCGATTGCATCGATACCAACGCACGATTGCATCGCTACATTTGGCATTTATAGACGATTGCATCGATGCAATTGCGCGTTTGTATCGATGCAATCGCGCGTTTGTATCGATGCAATTGCGCGTTTGTATCGATGCAATCGCGCGTTTGTAAATCGCAAGTGAAGCAATGCAATCGCGCGTTTCACGAACGCGCGTTTTCATCGCTGCTAAAAGACGCAGTGTGTAACCACTCTAAATCTTTCTTTTTATTCGTAACTGACTCTAACTTTAGTGCTCTTTAAATGTTATTTAAATTAAGTATTTAGTCTAAATATTTCTAAAGGAGAGGAAGACTCTTCAGTACTAATTGGAGCAATAAGCATTTAATTTCGGATAGCAGATCTACATTGAGACTATTGGTCCAAGATATATCATTTTGAGACATTACTTGTACGCCTACTATTTTCTTCTTAAATGCAGTGGAACAACGCAAGGTTGCTTTCCATTGTGTGTATAGGTAGTCTTTTAATGATCTCTCAAATAATTCTCGTAGGTTTTGTGGAGATGCATAACATACGTATTTTTATACCAGCATAGCGATTGATATCTCGACTATGGGAGTACGATCACGAAATAGAAATGAAATACAGAACAATCCTGAATTTGAATCATTTATATTTTAACCACCATAAACACAAACATGTCTATTATCAACAAACATGTCATTTTTAAATACTGAGCGAACGCTTAAATTCTATAATGAATGGCGTTTACGGCGAACCGCGTTATCGCGCTGATACGTATGTATGTGATTTCCGTATGACATGTTCTAAAGAATTTCGTGTTCTTGATCTTTAAGGCTCAATAACAAACTCGATTAAAAACCAAAAAAGAAAAAGCTGTTCTGTACTATTCTTATCCACTCGATCAAAAATAATGAAAGAGGGTCCAAGAGGCTCTGAATGCGAAAATTAATTTGTGTTAACATATCAACTAAACCCATTCTATGGTGAAATTAAAAAAATGATACTTATAGAGACATCACTTAATTCCAAACTAATATTATAAATGTGAAAGTAACATTTTCTGCATTTGTCTGTTAAACCGCTGAACAAAATTTGATGATTTTTTGTATAGAGAAAGGTGAGACCTAGAAGAAGGACATATCATACTTTGGTCACAAAAATAAATATTAAAGGGGGCGAAACAGGGAATGAAAGTTTTTATGGAGAACCAATCATTTCTCAAGTACGTAGTACTCTAAGCTACGGCTACGACGAAGTGGCGGGCACCAGCTAGTAATGATAAATGGTAATAAAAAGGACCTGATTAAGATTTGCGAAACCGAGGTAATGCAGCGCCCTCTCCATTATGCAGAAAGTTGTGGAAACTGTCTACTCTATCTTTAGCACCCCACCTTGATACAGGGTTCTGAAATATAAAAGCCTTAGAATTGCAAATACTCGCCGGTAGATGGCGGTAGTAGCCAGATAATACTATAAAAAGGCGTTTACATAATATTATTTTGTCGTTCGTAAGTAATGTGTGTAGGAAGAAAAACACTAACACTAAAATGCAAAGAAATACAGTAAAAATTACACCCTCTTTATTGCGTACAATGTAGGTCAACGCGTACAACGTTATTTATTCCTTTATAAACTGTGATCATTGCAACGAATTATAAACCTCAAAGTTATAATAATGCAATCAATGATTGTACATGCAATATATATTTTTACATAAGCACCCACGTTTACTAGAACACTATTATTGCTGTTTATGAGTTAATTAGTTTTATTAAGGAAAGTCGTCCCGAAAAACATTTCGCTCAGGGAATTACGAAAGTACATAACGATACGTCCGTGCACAATTTCTTTTGGTTATACTTCAGTACACACACGCTTTTTATATGCGTGTGTGTTATTTAGCAATGATTTATGTATTTCGGTGATCGTAATAATTTATGTATGTTGTATTTTTCTTAGTACTATAAGGAAAACACGCCTACTATTTTGTAGGCCAGGAAAATTCTTAGTCAAGGTCAATAGCTCCCCAGATCGAGTAAATTCCTATAACTCTTATTCATGAAAATTTATTAGACTAGATTTTTCTTCTTTTTCTTCACAAATTACTATTTTGTACACCCATTAATTCTTTTTAATTTTAACTTTCCTTCTCATTAATTATTCTTGTGTTGAGGTTTACTCCTTAAATTAGAGCCTTAAATTTTTAGTCGAGCTTTCCTTCTCACCGTGACCTCGCTTTTGCCAAGGTGCTGTGTCAGTTTCATAATAATAAAAGTAACCCTTACCATAATAACACTTTGCTGAAAGTTAAGATTATTATATTTTTACTTCCGCGGCCTGCGAAGACGACTGATTTAACTATATCAATTATTTTTTTTAATATCATCATCTATTGTTTCATCGTATCCTCATTTAGTAGCAGTAGCGCTATAAAAAAGTTCGTCCAGAGAAGTACTGCCACCGTATCTACTTCTGCCGCCAAGCATTATTTGCGCATTATTTCCGTTCCGGTGGAGGGTAAGAGTGCTAGTGAAATTACAGCATGAGTCTTGTCAACTTATATCTCAGGGTAACAGGCGCAGTAGCAGTGTCCCTCAAATATTTGCGATTTAAAGCTCTTAATGGCACTGCAACTGCTATGGACAGGTGTGTCACTTAATATCAGGTGCACGACTCCTTCGTCATGTCACTTGTTATCATAACAAAAAATCTAACTCTCTCTAACACCCTTTATTAACCGACTTCAAAAAAAGGAGGAAGTTCTCAATTCTTTTTTTTTTTGTGAATGTTACGCGATTTCCACGGCATTTGTGAACC